TATTCTTCATACGATAAACATAAAATAAATATACTATTTGAGTTATTTTAGATTAAAGAGTTTGATCAAAAATTAATTTAATATCAAGAAGAACAATTTTGCTAACATCCATAGTTAACGTATCCATAATGAAGTTAATAAAACAAAAAAAAGCTCGAATTTCAAAGTGTAAAGGATAAACGAAAAGTTCAAATAGAAGCAAGCTGCATCCAAAAGATAAAGAATTAATGGATTAGCAGCATCAGCAGCAACAACATTTTCGTTATCATCATCGCAGAAACAATAATTACCACAGGAGAAAAATATGAATATTTAATAATTAATTAAAAATTTCTAAATTTAAAAAACATTATGTAATTAATTATTATGTAATATATATATATATATATATATATATTTGAATAAATTATAAAAATATATTTTTTAAATCAATGATTATCACGGTTATTATGTTGAATACGATTGTAAGTGTTTTATAACCGAAGTAAATTATAAATGTCCCCAAGGTAGACCTGGCTTACATTGTTGTGAAATCCAAATTGGTTTCGCCAGCTCTTCGGGCTCATAGATCAAGTAGTCAAATTTTTTTTTTTATTAGATATGGTAGAAGTTTGAATTGATTGGTTATAAAGATTGCAACTTAATAAACCATTTTACCAAATAGAGAATGAAACAAACAAATACATTTGCATGATTTTAATGTTACCTTTAAATTTGGGTAACACTGATAAAAAAAACGGATTTTTAATTTTAAAATTTTTTCCCAACATTTTTCTCTCATTTCTTTTTTTATCTTACATTACATTCCTTTCCACATAAATAACCACAACAATTATTTATCTCTCGCAATTAAAAAATTCATTCGTTCAAACCTTTCATCGTGTTACCAATAATTACACCCACTTCTAATAATCAATCATTCTTCTCGACTACATTTTACAAAAGATAAAAATCATTTTTTTTTTTAATGAATACTTTTAAATTTTGAATTTTCAAAAAAAAAAATAAAAAATTTACATATACATATTTACACGTATATTT